GCTTTTCTGAAATGACCCACTAGGTTCCTGATCGGTGCACGTGTGACGTGTCGTGTAAGGCTGCCATGTTTTTCACGTCAAAATCACATGATCCACGCAGCGCGACTCGTCGACTTCAATCAAAAAGCGTCATGACAGAGTATTAAGGTCGACCAGTCGACTAGTCGACTAGTCGGTGCAACCCCTAGTACAGACGTCCGTGTGAACGAGGCCTTAGAGCCACACAATACCTAGATGTTTATCTAATGACTCAATAAATATTTTAAGAAGAACTGGTGATCGCCGAGTTGTGAGTGAAGCAAAGAAGTGGGACTGAAGCCATTAAGAGGGTTCTAACCAACCAACACATAGAGATCACATAAAGAAATAACCAGTACATTGGCTCCCTCTGCTACATATGGCCCTCGAGTCGGATATCTGTGATTCCTGTGTAATGATGGATCACATCCCAATTACAACAACTCCAGTTCCCGATGCAATAATGAGGGGTGCCCGTCCACAAAGGCAGGTAAGACAACCAGCTTAGCTTGAAGAATATGAGGTTTATGCCCCACCTTGCTTACCAAGTCGAACAGCAGGAAATGTCACAGTAAGAGAAGAGGGGAATGGCCTTAATAGTGAGACGCATAATGCTGCATCTAATGTAGAAATGATGCCACCGACCCTGCACACCATGCAGTATGCATTAGATTCCAGCGGTATGGAGTCTGCTCATTCGGGGTACGATGATGTACCTGCACCTGGATACACAAACACTCCAGTAGGACAGCAGTACTCAGCTGATATACTAAGCCTGCTGCACCAGATGAAGGAAGAATACAGGAGGCTCCATACAACGGTCATAGGTATGAAGCAGCAAATGGAAGCAAGAAGTGAAACCCCAACACCAGCTACCCATTCCTCATCTCCTGAATACACGGGCAAACACAGGCAGTACCCCGTGGCAGCTCCGAATGAGGATTAGGATGAGGAAGGTTGGCCGTTTCCACCCACACCAGCACCATATCGCCCTGTACCACTCAAGCAAATAAGGCCATCTCAACGACAGCCTGATGTGGTCGAGTAGTTGCAGGAACCACTACATAGGTTCACAGCAAATAGTATGTCATTTCCCCTAGCACAAGACCAGTATGACCAGGGGTCCATTCCTCCCAATTCGCAAGCTAACCCCTTCCATACAGAGCATTACAATCACTTGCCCTCAGAAACTGGCTCTCTCGCAATAGCTCCTGAAGCCCCTGAGTGGATATACTGGGGACCAAAACCAGCCATACCAAAGTTCACCAAGGATGATCCCAGGGAGTTTGCTAGATTAAAGCTTGCTCTTGGAAACCTCCTTCCAATCGATGCAACTGAGCGCTTCAAATACCAAATACTGTGTGATCATCTGCAATATGATGAAGCGCTTCTTATAGCCGACTCCTATTGTGACTCTGCCACCCCTTACTTAGACACCATGACTGCCTTGACTAAAAGATATGGTCAGCAACATCAGCTGTCCCTGCGACGTATAGCAGAGTTGATGGATGAACTAAATATCCGCCCAGGTGACATCACTGGGTTTAGCCGGTTTGCACTAAAGGTCCGAGCCCTCGTCGGAATGTTAAAACATGAGGCAGGCCACAGTTTGCGAGTAATGTCCCCGATGTCATTGGGCATGTGCCTCAAGAGCTAAGGGCAGAGAGTAACGAAGAGTGGCTGAACCGCACTGACACGGATCTGCAGGAGTCAACCTTGGGGCTGCGCTGGTCATGTAACTCAGATACTTTGCACTACAATTCACGGCAAGTTGAGTCTTCACCTACCACAATGAGGAGTATTTACAGAGTTTTAGCAAGCCAGTACGACCCACTGGGCTTTCTCATTCCATTCACCACCAGAGCCAAAGTCTTAGTGTAGTAGCTATGGGACAAAAAAAGGGAATGGGATGACCACTTGCTACCTGGAGACCTACTGGCAGCATGGCAAGCCTGGGAGAGTGAGTTACCCTACTTAGATAATATTAACTTGCCCCGTTGTTATACTAGCCCTGACCTGGACCACAGACTTTGCAGGCACAAAGTGCACGTGTTTTGTGATGCATCAGAATGGGCATATGGCAGCGTGGCTTACTTGCGCACTGAAGATCCTCAGGGACAAGGGGAGGTAGCATTTTTAACAACCTGTTCCAGAGTGGCTCTAAAGTGGCACGGGTGCTCAGCTTACTAACCTACTGGAAGGTGAGCTTACTTTAGAAATCCACAGGACAGTAATGTGATCTGACTCCACGACAGTCCTGACATGGATTCGGTCCGACTTTTGTCGGTTCAAAGTGTTTGTGGGAACACGTGTAGCTGAGATCCATGAGCTTACTGAGAGGCACAACTGGCGCTATGTTGAAACTATCTATGGTCGTGGCTAGGGCTGCACGATTTATCGATCTCAAATCGAAATTGCAATTTGAAACAACACAATTAGCAAGTCGCAAAAATCGCGATTTAGGATATACATTATACAGCATAAGAACATAAGAATTATACAAACGAGAGGAGGCCATTTGGCCCATCGAGCTCGCTTGGGGAGAACTTAACTAATAGCTCAGAGTTGTTAAAATCTTATCTAGCTCTGATTTAAAGGAACCCAAGGATTCAGCTTCCTCATATGACATTCCTCTAAGACCAGGAATCATTCTTGTGGCCCTACGCTGCACCTTTTCTAAG